ATTAGTAATGAGCCTAGTTATTTGGTGCTTCGTACTGTTTAGCAGGTGAAGTGAATCTTGGCTGAAAAAATCTGTGAAATGCACTGATCTTTGTTGATCACTTGATCACTGGGCATTGTAAAAACACTATGTCACTGTTGATCGGTGACATCAGCACTGATATAGTGTGGTTCGCAGCATGTTTCTGTCACCTGCTTTAAACTATACTGACTAAGGCTACTGTGCTTGGCAGTATCTTGTGAATCAGCTTACTCGTACAGCGAAACGTTAACGTTTCGACATGTGCTCCACACATGCTCACGCAGCAATCGTCAGCGACTACAGACCAATACCAAGCTTTGAGTTTCGTCTAGCTGCAATGATCTGTTGTGAAATGCTCTGGTCTCTTAAAATTTGTTTCTGTTTTCGCAATTTTGTCATCAATGGGTTCATAAAAATGTCAGTTTTCGTCACCGATCATATCCGGTAAATCGAAAGTTTCCCACCCCTAGTTGTATGGTTCCTCCATAAGAATAAGGTTCAAGAGCCACCTTCTTAGATGGAGTTTTCCATGACTTGCAGGGGAAGATGTTCATCAGTGGGCATGGGCATCAGTCATTTTGAACATGGCTCTCGTGGTGTTGCGAAGAAAGACATGGCTGATGTCCTGCTCTTTTTCCATAACAAACCTGGCACCACTTTGAATTCCAGGGCTCATCGGCATGTGCACCGAAACACCGCTCGAAATTGTGCTACAATTCCACACTCATACGCTGTGAATGTGCTACAATTCCACACTCACACGCTGTGGAATTGTTCTCACGATTTGTCGTTTCTCTCACCGTGATTGTGTTAACTACTTATTTCCTCGTCGTAAGCCTCATCTTGCCTCACCCCGGTGCATCCTTGAATTTCATAAATGATTCTGATTACGGCTCTTTCATCTTGCCGATACATTTCGAGGACTGTGAGATCAGGAGAAAGTAAGGAAGTGGATTGAGTTATCATATCATGTCACGAGTTATCAAAAGCATGCGTTTACTTACTCTGACTCACGCTGCGCAAATACTTCATTACAGCATTGTGCTCTCTACTATCGAACAAAGAGGATCAGCGCCGAGGTTCCCGCTTAAATCCAAACACGCCTCCCCGAACGTTCTCCCCAGGTCTTCCGGCAAAGTTAACTGTAAGTGGTCAATTGACAGGATGGACTGGGGCATAAAAGATACGAACATTTTCCCATGGATATCACATGGACGTTTTGTGGGCATCTGACGGTTAGGCCGTCTATCGGAGCACAAAGCCATACGACGTCAATTAGGTCATGACATTTAGCGTTGGTCATCACCGTGACGCGAGCCAAATGTAACTCGCTGCGCTGGGATGCGACTTTGCGCTTCAAGGTGTGAAGTGCGATGCGCTTCCCACCGCATCACGCGCGTACGGCCCTTTTCTCGCCACCACATGGTGTGAGCACTGCATGTCTTTATGTTGCGATATGACTCAGTTAGCTCAGTGGCCAGGGGGTTCATGGGTCTTTTGCTATCTGTTCAAGGATACTGGGAAGAAGAGGTACGTTACGAAACGAAACAGCTGTCCATTTGTTAATCTTATCATGTTTTGGACCATTTATCATTATAATTGAGAGTAGAAGGGTATATGGACCGTGTCACGTGCTAATCAACCCGTTATCTCTCGCGCCCAAATGTCAGGCTGCATTTTTTTTTTCTCCAGACGGTACAATCTGCGCAGCTCGCGTCGGCTTTCCTGAAAAATAAACTTATGATTGCCAACGCTGATCTGCCGTCCCAAGGCAAAACCCAATATGCTCATTTCTGGCCGTTTTGCGTTTTTAACGTCATCTGGTTCGTCTTGTCATGCTGAATTCGAACGCCCAAACTAATGGTTGAAATCTTCACAAACTTTTAGATAAAGGAAAGTGCTAAAATCATGTGAAAACTTCAACTAATTGTTTAAATAGCCGAATTCAGCATTAGTGGAAGAATCAGATGCCACCTAAAAACGCAACATGACAAAAAAATAAGATATGGGGTTTTACCTTCGGACGGCAGCGCTGCCCTTCTCTGAGAGGCATTGTATTTATGTATCAGACGTGTGAGGGAACGGGCGCAGAGGGACGCGTTTTGGTCGCCAGAGCAACATGGATTGGGTGAACTTAAAACATTGCCCCCGGGTAAGAAATCCCGGCAGGAAAGTTTTTTTGTTGGTGAGCAGCAGGAGGTTGTACCAATTCCCTGGAGCTCAAAACAATTCACTGGAGTCATGAGAGCTGAGACCATCGGTACGTAACGCAAAGTAAATATGTTTAGATTACACTTACACTTACACTCACTGTAATGGTAGCTGGCAATTGCGCTTTAGTCGTCAAAACGGGTAAGCTAGGTAAACCAGCGGACGGAAACTGAAGTGAAGTTGGTCGGGAAGCCAGTTGGAACGCGTAATTGATCACTCACAATCGAAGCCAGGAAACATTAGGCGGAACATGAAAAGCTGGTGGAATACTGTCGCTTCTATGCATGTGTGTATGCATGTATTCGTAAAAACATCCACAACATGGTCTTACGAATTCCGAGTCGATGCATGCAATACACATAGCGACGAACTTCTTAGCTAGTTCATATGCAAGTTCCGTTTGAACATGCCGTTCCTAACAAAAAAAACAAAAAAAACAAAACAAAACAACTAGGCTGCACGACTCGTGCAATCAGGTTATAGCCAGCCTGACACATCCGTTTGAAAATGCCCCGCTGGTGCTAACATCTGGCGGTGGACGATTTCGCGTGTAAGTGGTGCGGAACACAAATGGTCGGCGGGCAAGTCCAGCTCGGACACGCATGTAAGTGGTGCGGCACACAAATGCTCGGCGGGCAAGTCCAGCTCGGACACGCATGTAAGTGGTGCGGCACACGAATGGCCGGCGGGCAAGTCCAGCTCGGACACGCGGGTAAGTGGCGCGGCACACAAATGGTCGGCGGGCAAGTCCAGCTCGGACACGCATGTAAGTGGTGCGGCACACAAATGCTCGGCGGGCAAGTCCAGCTCGGACACGCATGTAAGTGGTGCGGCACACAAATGGTCGGCGGGCGAGTCCAGCTCGGACACGCGAGTCTGTAACAGCAGAACTTCAGAGCTTCCCGGAGATCGAGCAGAGGCATCAGAGCGTGGAAAAACGAGGACACGTAAACTCTTCAGCGCCGTTGGTGACCATAGCAGGTGGTGAAGAGCTGGAAGGTCGCGACCGACCAAAAGTTCTTTAATTTTGAGCCACCCGAGTGTTTTTAGGGTCCGAGATATGTGTTCAGATTTCTTGGTTCCACCAATAGTTCTAACGATAAAATTAAACGCTTTTTGGATCCTATGTTTTTGCATTCGGGAGCAGCTACTCCGTGCTGTGATCCCGTTTCTTATGTGGGGATGAGCGACCTCTTCAATCACCATATTTTTAGTTTCAACTGCCAGCTAATGGTTCACTTCGTTACACCTACTGAAGTGCTATGCCATGTTTTTACGGTGTTATCTACATGATGCTCCTAAGCTAGGCTAGCATCAAAAATGACTTCAAAAACCATCCTGTATATCGCATGTTACGTAGATCACCTAGGCCTTTGATAATTTTAACTGAGGTAGAGCAGCTTTGTTGACGCTTGTCGAAGGATGTATTCTGTCAATTTACAAAGAGCGGAGAATACTCTCTTCGCTATCTGATGACGCTTGAACGCAAGCCATTCAGATGATCATTTTGAAGCGAACTGCGTGAACAGATTTAAATTGAGGACCCGTTGCCGTACACTCCGGTTTCTTCCAGGACAACAAATCGGCTGATATGGTCAGCAGTCATCTTTTAACATTCACTGTTGCTGACGGCTGACTGGTACCATACCGCCATGCGTCATACTAAAGTTTCGTGTAGCAATCTTACACATAGACGTAGCTGTGCATTGTATCTATAAAATGTACAATGTGCAACGTGTGCATCTCGCACGCCTAGGTTCTGAAATCAGTGTAACTGGGCCTGCATCCTCAGCGTGACTTAAAGCAAACCGCAGGGTAACGAGGTAAACATCGCATTTGACTGCGCGCTTGCGCCACCCTAGGGTATATAGCGGCTGTCGCGGAATAATTGCAAGGCAGATGATGTGTCCAGCGGAGGTGAAGAGCACCACGACAAAACTCCGACTCGAGTGTCGAGAAGTGAGGTCACCGGGGCCCGGCATCAACAACACAATCACCTGGGCAAGGCGCAGCCGCCTGAAAGCCTAACCAGAAAGAATGACTATAATGAAACTTGGCCAACTTCCTCGGCTTGCTGTCTGCCATTTGATATGCATGAGTTAGATTACTCACGACCTTTTTGGAAAGATGTTTTTTAAAGTAGCTATGTGTCTAGGCAAAGTTGCACTAACTCCCTGTTTGGCTAGGGTGGCGAACCCATTGACGCTTTAGGTGGGACGGTCTGGGACAGACCCTGGGACGGTCTGGGACGGACCCTGGGACTATCTGGGACGGACCCTGGGACGGTCTGGGACGGACCCTGGGACGGTCTGGGACGGACCCTGGGACGGTCTAGGACGGAGCCGGGGGCGGTCGGGGCCATCGCAAGACTAAAAAAGAAATTGTAATCGGCCCATGTCTATGGTAGGTATGATAAAGGTATAACCTGACATTTTGGATCTCGAAAACCCCAATTTTTTTCCATTGCTCTGGGCAGAGACGTCCAGCAATTTGGTGTGAATTGATACGCATGACAGGCGTAGTAGAGCCAATGTTTTTTTAACGTAGTATGCTTATGCCAAGGATAACTTCCCTCCGAACTGACGTGGACGCATCGTCAACTGCTCAAACTGCCGTGTCTGTTTCTCATGGCGCTGACGGATTGTCGCGGGGCAGAGCGGGCCTACCCTGATTGCATCTAAGCTGGGATCGTCGGCAAATCTGACACCGATGATGGGCTGATGGGATCTGATGCCGCTATTTCTCGGCCTGCGATCCGGCCGCCTCACCTCCGGGTAGCCCGAGATCTCATTGGTAGCCTCGCGCCAGACGGAGACGGCCCGCGCCAGCCCCAGCAGGCAGCACGCCAGGAGCAGCAGCACCGCCGACCGGTCGGTCGCCATCGTACCCGGGACACGGCCGCACGCCACTGACGCCGCCGGCCGCCGCTGCCGCCGCTCTTATAGCCGCCGAAGCCGCCACCGCCGCCGCCCAGCGCGCCCATGGCTCTCACGCAGGTCACCGGAGGCACCGCCGGCCATGTCGCGACGTTGGTTCGGTCAGGAGCAGCCCGGAGATCAGGTGGACACCAATTACAGCACAGGAGGTAGGCAAGTGTGATTTGGGTAGACAATGTTCTCTCTCTCTCTCTCTCTCTCTCTCTCTCTCTCTCTCTCTCTCTCTCTCTCTCTCTCTCTCTCTCTCTCTCTCTCTCTTCTCTCTCTCCCCCTCTCTCTCTCTCTCACTCTCTCTCTCTCTCTCTCTCTCTTTCTCTCTCTCTCTCTCTCTCTCTCTCTCTCTTTTCTCTCTCTCTCTCTTTCTCTCTTTCTCTCTCTCTCTCTTTCTCTCTCTCTCTCTTTCTCTATCTCTCTCGTTCTCCCTTTCTCTCGTTCTCTCTCTCTCCCTCTCTCTCAGAAGCGGCCATGAAACCACGTAACACCCATGGTGGTTGTTTATATGTCTGTGTTTTTAAAGTTTCCTGTCACCAGCGCCCCCCACCCGCGCCTCCTCATCAATCCCTTTACCTACGCTCCACTGGAAGGGTCATGGCCTACCTAAGCTAAGCCGCGCTGAATGCAGTTGTGAACTTCAGCGATTGTGTTGTTTGCAAATTAGTCTTCGTGTGGCATGAAATATTTGACGTCACCATAGTTTACTATTTATGCCTTCAAAACAACACCATATTTTTCGTTCATCCGTGCGAACGCAGTATTGATCACCAATGATGCTTTTGGGACTTCTCTAGGATCTAGCATGACCGTTGGCGTTGGGACAGGCAGATGCAGGCTCACAATCTTATCGGCAGCTCAACAATTCCCTTTTTGGGGCGTTTCGTCGCCTCATATTTCCTCTGTGTGCCACTTGGGATGCATGACTGACTTTTGTTCCACTCTGGCAAGGCTTTCAGGATTTTGATCTAATGAGAGGCCAAGATGAAAAGGCAGTCAAAAAAGAAGTGTCGCTGTTGAAGGGCTTTCAATGCATATTTCAGTCATCAAACACCATACAAGTTTTCACGGGTCTTGTTCAGTGCAGCTTCTCAGTTAGCCAGACCGTTATGGCCTTTTGCAGACTTGAAGTTGTCTGGTCTATGTGCTCGTCATAGTGCTCGCAAACTTGTTTCCACTATTTCATCCTGCCTAATTTGAAGCCACTACGAGATGTATGACGTCAAAGACACGTCATACGAATTTCACCTCCTCAATGTCGCATTGCTTTTAAGGTCAATAAAATCATGACTATTAAGTTTTTCGTGTCTCTAATATGTCAGCACGATTTGAAGCAGTTCGTCGCCATTCGCGTTCGTCGTTCGTCCGTCTTAAATCACCGGCGCGTGGCCGACCATTGTGACGCATTTGACAGTAATCGCAGGCCTTGGTACGGCAACGCAACGACGGGTGCCGCTGTTGGTCACAATAAATGGCGATGGCACACCGGGGCTCGATGATTTAGCGGTAGATACGCCGGCGATGGCAAACACGCGTAGGTATTGCAGCACGTATGAAAATCTACTGCTAGCAAAAATGTGTTATAAAGATACCAAATGAGAGAAGTTTTCTTACCTGCGCGGAAAATGCCAAACTCACGCATCAGAACATTCGTACACGTCAACAAATACCGCTGCATACGGTCGGCTCGCGTGGTGTCATCTTTCAAGCTCGCATGAATTGGTTGAAAGGTCGCAGCGATGCTGCGCATTCTGAGAAAATGTTGTTCAACCACTCTTTACGTCCGACACATTGTGGGTTTCTGGTTTGGCTCCAACTGATCCTGATTTGCCGCTAGGCAATCACGACAATAGTCTGTCAATGTGACAGGTGTGACTAAGGCCTGGCCCGGTACAAAGTTGAGCTTGAATCATGACATATGTTACCAAGGTAAACATAGGCATAAGGATGTCTCTGAAAGTTTGGAGTGGGACAGGGACGTGCCCAAACATTGGTTCCCCTGGTGTCTTACGCCTTATTCTAATATGGGAGTCGATGCTACCCTTCTAGGTTTCTTAAGGATGCCCCTCTGGGATACCGTGCAATGGAGCCCCAATTTACGGTAGCCTATGGGGCATCCATTGCGCGCGTTTTGGCACAAAAATCGCATCCATAGCGTTTGTGGTTTTGGAGCAGCAGCGGTTTTTTTAGGAACACTGCATCACGATCCACACCCGGTCGGCTGGGGGACAGGAGGGACGGCAACCGGCGATGGCGATCCATACCCGGCCGGCCGGCTGGGGAACGGGAGGGACGGCAACCAGCGATGGAGCGGAGCGCACGCAGCGGGACGACATTGTTACAGTACCGAAGCCATACGTCACAAATGTACGTTCAAAACACGTTAACCTATACACCATTGTTCTCTAAATTGAACAAAGAACACGCCTGTACAGGTTTTGAGTTGCCACGAGGCATGGCCTCGTATGTACGATGTCGGTCTGCTAAGGTGCGAATTCTAACATCCGGGATTTCACTCGTTGCGGACAGCACGCGGACGTTGGTTAGATGCGTATACACTGTGTTCACCTTAAAATAGCCAGTGACTCCAACGGCATGGTACGTAAACGTCGTTAAGCCATGCGAAGTGGTGCATCACGCACAAGAGACGAAGTTAACTCATGAAACTGCGTTAGTAGTGGATAAATTCTCTTTTGAAACAGCCTTTCAGCCAACTCTTGCTATATTTTGACATTCCGCTTGGCTCTGCTACATTCTGTGTTGTGCTGTGCTGTTGTGCGCTTCGAGGCGGTGCCCTCCACCACCGCCTCAGATGCCTGGTCAACTAGCTCGGGCTCGGGCAGCTCGACGACGCGGCGGCGGCGCGGCGGCCGGCGCGGGCGCCGCCGCCGAGTCGGCCGCGGCCGCCGGAGGCTCGTCCCCGCACAGCCGGCTCAGCTGGAGCAGCGTCTGCTCGCAGAACAGCTGGCCCGAGTCGAGCCGCTGCCCGATCTCGAGCCGCCCGCTCAAGTCGAGCGGTTGGCGACGGCGGCGGCCGACCGCGGCTCGGGCTCGGCCCAGAGCCGCGGCCGACTTTTGACGTTTGAAGCTTGACGTTTCATGAAGTGTCATGAAACGTCAAGCTTCATCACGCTTGCTTAGATCCAAAAGACCCAAAAGGCTTTATCAAGCAAGCCTTTTGGGTCCACGCAATGCGACTGTTTGCTATCACCACGTCAGTAGCCCTTTAAGCCCTGCACCCTACCATTCTTCTCTTAAAATATTTACAAATCTACTTCCCAAATGATGACAACGCGCTTAACATAGAGGTGACAACCAACCTCGCGTGAACTCAGTGCATTTATACGTGAGTGGAAGGCAGAGACCGCTAAATAGTCAAGGACATTTGCGATCCCCCGTTTTTCACTTCAGCGGCAAGCGATTTGTCTCCGCAATGTGCTTCTGCACACGAAGATAACGCCGAACGAATCTGATTTTCTGCCGCGATCGATGATGCGTAAACCCTACCGTGGCACTTAACGCGCATGGCTCGCGATCAGCGGCATATTTACGACCGAAGCACCTTATTGCACTATTATGTTTCATTATTATGTTGCACGCGAAAGTGGCGTCTTGTAGAAGCTTTGTCACAAAGCATCATCACACTTCCTGAAAAGTGGACTCTGCGGTTATCTGAAGTCAATGTGAATCGAATAGGACCTCAACACAAATGGTACGACCAGAATGGGTTCTCGCAGTGTAGTGGTTAAGCTGCGCATCTGGGCAGCCAGATATGCGGAGTTCGATTTCCCGCGGTGCCCGCTCTTCCTGTCAGGGTGAGAGACGAGTGACGTTACATAGCCTCAGCAAATGAATGAGTCGCAAATATCCAATGAGTCGTAAATATCCAATGATTCACGCTACGGCAAGACAATATTTTGTCGCCGGTATCTACACAGGCTTAGAAAAATATCATTAGCCATGCTTGTTATCAACAACCGAGACGGTCTATGTTGTACGGCCTAGTGCCCATCGCAAAACACTGCCAGCTGCCTAATGCCCCCAGCAGCTCAGCTGTCCGAAGGACCTACCCAGCCCGGTCAACCGGAACTGGCACGCCCGTGCGGCCCTCACTCACAGGGTGACACCGCACGCCATAAGGTGCGACTCGTGCAGCAGGCGGACACACTTGAGGCCAATGCGCTTCAGAGCGGCGGCCGCTCGGCAGAAGGCGCGCACGCGGCGCCGGCCGGCGGCACCCCACAGACGCGCAACGCCGGCGCCACCTGCGCACGACACCAGCGCCGCGCCCAGCAGCGGCCAGCGGGCCGGCAGGTACACGGCGACGATCAGGCTGGTCGCCAGCATTGCCGCCAGAGATGAAGCTGCAACGGAGGAACGTGATGACATCAGACGCACATGTCGCTCGCCATAAGCGACTTCACAATGTTGCATCATTGGGAGGTTGCTGTATTCTAGACAAAGCTGAGACTGATGATAGAACAAGCACGTTTGAACCGAGACGCAATGTATTTGCGATACCTGGACACACTTCTCTTCAAACTTCAAAAAGACCACTTCTCGGTACCCTTCTGCGGCAGTTTACACCGGCGGCCGTGCTAAGGATCTAGCGGTGGGGAGGGGTGGAGATGGGCGGGTGGGCCGGCGGCTCACCCGGTGGCGCCAACGCCGGCGGCGCGCTGCCGCTGGTCCGAGCTCAGGTCCACTGCCTTGGCGCCATCGCGGTCGCTCATGAGCCCGACGTCTAGCAGCGCGGCCAGCGCTTGCGGCAGCAGCAGCGGCCCTGCCCGCAGCCCGAGCCACTCGAGCGCGCGCGCGGCGCCGGTCCGCAGCTGCGCCACCTGCCGACGCCGGCTGGGGTGTCATCACGGGCACACTGGGAAAGCGCTGCGCCCGGGGCCTGGTGTGGACACACACCAGCAGCTGAGACAGACGCCTGCGGGGCTTTTCTCTGGTTTT